CCTGTGTAATGCAGTTTGACATCTTTTATATTTTTCAGTGCTTCCAACTGCACTTCAGGCCCCTTCATTTTCTCCTCCACTCTAGGAATCTACTTGCACTTAAGAAGTATGTATTCTGCATGGGCTTTATTCATAATCAGGAGCACTGCACATGCACCACAATGGATTGCCTTGGCATCATTGGTAGCCACTCTTTCCAGCAGCTATTGCTTCTTCCTTATAGATTCCTTACTTGTTAGGCCCTTTAGATGAGAAGACATTTTGCTACACTGAGCACATTTCACTTCGCAATTCACTGCTAGGCTAATTTCTTAGCTGTTCTGTATTCATGAGTTCTTACCTCTGCTACTGACTATGCCACAATTTGCCTACCCACTGCCTGTAACAGCTGCACTCAAGGTACACCCCTTCTTTTCCCCTATCTGTACTCAGTCAGTTGCTTCAGATGTATCTCTTGCTAGCTGGCTCAGATTAATAAACTAGTGAAAAATTAGCAATTTAGTTATTCTATCCTGTTACCTAAGATACATATGACTGAAGCTGGTGGAGAGCCAAGATCCGCAACAATGACCCCATTTTGACAGGACAAGTGAGGGAAGAAGGAGAAGATCCTGATACCTGGCATGAAAACAAACAGAGTTTTCTTTTAAGACTTTTACTAAATACCAATGACACAGACCATTGAGCTGTGAATGGAATATCACAAGTAATCATTTAAAAGGAAGGGGCCTAGTTTTTAATACAGGCATCTTGTCTGAACCCCGCATTCAGGCATTTAAATGGGTATTTGAATTATGAGACTAGGATGGGATTCATTACTGTGCAGAGAGCTAAAAAAGACTTATGCAACACTTAAGGCTCCTGTTAACATGGGTACAAAGGCTTAATTGTTGAACAAGTCTGTAATTGGTCTTGGGTACAAGGATGAATGAAACCCTGGAATACCAAATGATTCAACCCACTGTGGCGCACACGTGTTCTGTAAAAGTTTCTGTTAGTCAATTCGGCTGGAAATGGATTCAAACAGTAGTCCTGGTTAGTTAAGGCAAGTGCTAGAAAGGTGAAGAATGTATTAGGTTAGAAGGAGATGATGAGCAAGGACTGGGAGTTTGGGATATGTCGGCAATCAATTTTCAGTTTTGTGTCCCTGGATCTCCCCTCCTATACAAATCCCATACAGTAACTGTGCATCCTGCTTACCTTGGCACAGGTCTGGCATCTTTATCTGGCTTCTCCAGTACTCTCAAGGCAGCTTGGTGCTTTGTCCACCGCTGTAATTAGCCACATTCTTGTGCATGGCCCTCTGCACAGCAGCTGTAGCTTGGGGTGACAGCTGAGCACACAATCACTTCTTTCTGTTTGCTCCTGTTGTTGTCGTGATTTATTAGGTACAAAGGCAGGAGACTGGCCCAGCACAAGTCGGAAATAGAGTGTTTCACCCCAAAAGGGAGTATGGGCAATGGTGGGAGAGCTACAATGAGCAGGTAAGCAAACAGTGAGTGGCCTTGGGACAGTGTAATATGTCTGTGAACAAGAGGAGCAGCCCTGGGACAATTCCAGCCCAGATCCTCAATCTGTAGTGATTGTGCATCCCATACAGTGTGTCCGACAAAAGATAAAGCTTGGCCGACACTGATTTCTGTGTTCTGTTTGATTTGCAAAAATACACCGTGTCCATTTAAGTGATTGGAACCACTTGTCGTTTGTGATGTTGTCATAATACAGGGTGACTCTTGGGAAAAGAACCAGGATACCTGCCCAATGGAGGGTTGCAGTCTGATGCCATAATGTTATTATCTAGCTATCAAGTGATCAAAAACTGAGTTCTTTCAAAATGCAGGTCATATTTTATGTTATGGGTTACATTAATAAATAGCTTATCAAAGGTTAATAAATACAGCCAGTCTAAAAATTGCGATAGAGTTAGTTTCTGTCAGAAAATGCCATTTTATCCAAATCAAAATGTTTGGTAGGCACATGTTGATCTGGAAGAAAAAGTTTCAAAATGATTCAAAATAGGAAGTTCATTTTGATTTTTCTCCATTTTATTTCTTTTTAATTTTCTGGTTTCTTTTGTTCCATATTTTTTTATTTTATGTCATTTGGACTTCTTTATTTTGTTTCATTTCTGATATCTATTCAATTTTATTTTCTCAATATTATTGAAATAAATGTTTTCCAATAGTCATTTTGACATTGAATGGAAATTTTCATGCGACTTTTATTGCATGAAATGTTCTGAGGGCTCAGCCTTTTTTCTCCTCGCAATTTGTGATAAAACATTTTAAAATGTTAGAATTTCCCACAGGCTAGAAATTGTGTTTTCTGGATAACATTGTCAATATATAATTAACATCATAAATGAGTTGCACAATAGTTGCATATGTCATGAATAGCTGTAAGCACATTATAGATGGTATTATAGACAATTATAAACTGCAGTAATACAAAAATATCGACTATTGCTATCTATAGCAAATCAATTGAACTTTTATTAAAATATATGTTTATTAAGTCTTTCAAAGATTATTTATAAATGTAACCTGAATACAACATGTCACCCAAATGTGCCTTTGGCTTTACTGAGTTATGTACCACAGGTGCATTCTTCCATTGCATAAGGGCGCTCAAGGAAACAGGTACACAGCATTATGTTCCCTTTGTGCTTAACAGCACTTGTTCAGGCACATAAGGCTTGTGATTATAGCTCTGCACAATACTTGCTCAGAGATACTTGCTGCTTAAATAATGTCAGTACCAGTCATTCACATGTTTCTGTTCAAAATGTCTCAATGCCTGTAGTTTGTTTGTCAGCCTGTTTGTGTTCTGCGGGCTGTTTTTTGTCCTTGTCTTTTTTTTTTAACTTGCATTGCCTTGTTAGATTTATTTTCCTTAAAAGCCATACAGTCACTGACTAAGCGAGAATTGAAAAGGAAACAAGTACATGGAAATGTTAGACAATTGAATTTATTTTTTTTCATCTCTCACTCTTTTGTTTCCCTTTTGATGAATTGTTTTTTTTCCCAACACATAGTTTAAAAGCCTCTTCTTATATTTTATATCTTCACAGTGAAGAATCTGTTCGCATTCCAGAGTGTAATCGATCTGAGTCAAGTAGAGATGGGAAAGAGATTCCTGGTAAAGATGATGCCCTAATAGTCAAAAAGACTGGAAACTTTATCAATGTAATAGTCCCACAGAAAGACTGTCAGCTTCAAGACCTGCTCAAACAGTTAAGAATATCTGTTGTTTAACAGATAGTGGAAGTGCATTTCATGGCTGTGTTTTGTTGTCTCCAGCCTTACTATCCCAAATAATGGTTCCATTAGATCTTACACTCTAAGTGGAGTTGGGACTGAACTGGATGGGAGACCTCCAAAAATACAGGTGCTTCATAAACAATGTATGTGGCATTCTTCCTTCTCAGTTGGTGTGTCTACACAGGACGCCTGAATGCACAGTGGAATGTTCTACTGTGCGTTAGTGCATCACAGCAAAAAATGTGCTAATGTGCAGAAGAATTATTCTACTGTGCATTAAGCATGACAACAAAAAAAACTTCACCTTTGCTACTGTGCATTAGTACAGCTACAGCGGCTTTATCTAGTACCTCATATTAGAGGTACTAAACAATGTGCAATAGCAAATGCACATTAATGAACATGTAGATGCACTCAGTGGGCATGTCTACACATGCATTTACTCCAGACTAGATTTACTGTGCAGTAAACTACCGCTCTCTACAAGACCTGCATTAATGTGCATTAACTTAATTTAATGCGCATTACGGGCACACATCTACATGTGTGCACCCTTACAGCACATTAAAAATGGTTAAATTAAGCTAATCATGCCTAAGTTTGATACCTGCATATGCAGGTATCAAATTTAGAAGTGATTAGTTAAAGCACATTAATGCATGTGTAGACATGACCTGGCACTAACTTTAGTGAGGGGTCTGCCCAGACCCTAGGGACACATTGCAGGGCTGCAGGAACTTGGCACTAACTTTAATGCCAAGTCCGTGCATGTGTAGACACCTGCCAAAAATCACTTAATGAACATTCAATTTAGTTGTGCTTAAATACATGTGTAGACATGTCCAGTAAGTATTAAACCAGAGTTGAAGAAACTGAGATGGGTGAAGTCCTGATGGAGCAAACAGAAGCAAGACCCTGATTGTTTGTGAATATTTAAAAGAACCCCTTAGTTTGTTTAACTACAGTAAGGGTTCTGAGGGTCTCACCAAATCCTTCATATATCTAACTGGCTTAAAAAATATCCCACAGTTTGTTGGGCAATGCTAGACCTTTCATACTTTAAAGTTGCTTGTGGAATATTGCTAACATGTTCCCACACAGATGCGAATCCATTTCAGTGGACTCATGCCTATCTCTGTATAGGCATCCTACAAATAGTGTTTCCTTCTTCAAGATGGAAAGCAATATATAACAGTTAGTATTTTATGGCTGTATTACTGTTTGCAAGTTATTCTATTTTTAAGGGGAGTTATTCTGTTCTAAGTCACATGCAAGCATCTTTCACCTCCAGCATATAAAATCAATTATGGGATGAAATGTTTTATGAGGCTATCAAAACAAAGGAGTTTGTGTAGGATTGTTATGATTTAGAATTTAAATTACTGGCTTAATTAAATGC